GCATCAAGTGTTCAGATGACTCATGCCCATTTGGAAGTTAACATACAGGAAGTGGGGAGAATAAAGATTTTTTTTCCTCTTTTATCCGTTTATACATGAAATCAATCAACATTGTTACATGTATTTTCTGTGCTGGGCATGACACATGGCTGTGGAAGAACCAAGAAAAATGATAAATGTCCTGGTCACAGGTGGTTCGCAGTCCAGTAGGAGGGCAAAGCAATTGAGAGACCAATAGGACGCAGTGCACTGGTCAGGGAAGAGCTAAGACATGAGTTCTGCTGGGACACTGCGTGGAGGAGGGGGATTGGGCTATAAAACCCAACAAGATGAGTTTTAAAGGATAAGATAAAAAGCTCAAATGGTAAAGGAGAGGAAATTTGTTCCAGGTTTCCAGATGAAGAAGTCATCTGTCACTTGATTGTGAACTCCATGAGGTCAGGGTCTTGATTTACTCAAGAGTAGAAATCTAGCACCTAGGACAGCACCCAGGCACTCTGGTTTCTGAAGTGCATTTGAATGAGCCCCTCTAAATCATTGTATGACACTGTATTCAGAGGCATATAGTAAAAGATATAGGTGAGTTTTTAAAACTCAGAATTGTATGGAGACAAAGAAAGGATTTTTAAAATGCTGATAAAATCCAGTCTATGACAAGAACAATATTATGTTCGATGAATTATAAAACCTATACTGTAAGTTTAGATATCGTTTTACAGTTCCTCCTCACTAAGGAAGTGCTTTTAACCCAGAATTAGTCTTGTTAATCATTGAGACTATATTCTGGCCTAATCACATATTCTGTTGTGCGTCTCAGGATGCTGTTATCCCACTTGGATGACCACACTCTTTTAGCCTTTCTTATTTCTGACTTTTCAGTCTTTGCTTGTGCCTGAAGTGCTTTGATCCAAATCAGTACACTCTGAAAAGCTCTGAGTGTCGATCTGCCTGCTAGTGGGAATGCCTGTGCAACGCCACAGCCATTTGTGTGCTGGGTTGCAGGTTGGCCTCTATTGTATTGTCCCTGCAAGATGGATGTCACATCAAGGTTGAGGGTGAAAAGGAAATAAAAATCCTTTCATTTTTAAGAATCACTTTGTTTTTTGGACTCTGAACTAACAAAAGAACCTCCCCTCCTACCTGCCACCCCACGTGCGTAGCATAGTGGTAAGAGCATAATTATTCCCAGTGCCTTTGTTTTGCTGCTTCAGATCTTCTTCCAGTCTCCACCCCACTGTCTACCCAGGGCAGCTGCTTCTGTGGAAGTAGAGGCATGCTACCAGGCCTCGGGCCCTAGTTAGATTTGTGCAATATGAGGCTCCAGTATTTACTCCCTTGGCCCTGCCATGGGATTCCCTACAGCTACCTGTGTCCCTTGGCATAAGGTTTCTGCTCTTCTGCAGGATACTCTAAATCTATATATATCTCTCTCTCTACTTTTTAGGTTCTTATAAGCTCCCCCACTTGGGGGATGTGGGGAAAGCTGGTGGCAAGGATGGTGAAATAAGTCAGACAGAGAAAGACAAATACCATATTATGTCACTTATATGTGGGATCTAGAGAACAAAATAGATGAACAAACAAAACAGAAATAGATTCATAGACATAGAGAACAAGCCTTGCCAGATGGGAAAGGGCTTGGGGGGTCTGGGTGAAGGTGAAGGGATGATGAAGTCGACAGTGGCAGTTACAAAATAGACCTGGGGATGTAAGGTACAGCATAGGGTGTGTGGTCGGTAATAGCGTGCATAATAACTATGTGTGGTGCCGGGTTGGTGCTAAAAATATTGGGGGATCACTTTGTAAATTACATAAATGTCCAACCATTGTGCTATACACCTGAAACTAATATAAAACAATATTAGATGTCAACTGTAATTGAAAAATGAGAATAAAATAAAAATAAAACTGCAATTACGATCAAATCACTTTCCCTACCCCTTGAATCTAAGCTGGTCTGTGACCGCCTTTGGCCAACAGGACATGGAAGTAAAAGGGCTGATTCTGAGTCTACACCTTCAACAGGACGAACAAAGAACCTTCTTAAATATAACCCTGAGAATTGTGTAAATACTGTAGATATGTGTCTAAATACAATTGAATAAGAGGATATAGAATTTTAAAATAATTACAGCATGTTTTCAGAAAATAACTTGTTTCAAGGAAGTTTATAATTATAACTTATCAAAATTTCAGAGAAGTTTTAAAATGTTATAAAACAACTGTTTGTCAGAACTTTTAGACTCCATGTGCAAAATTGTTTCTCTTCTGAAATGAAATGAAGATTCCTCAAAATTAATGATTCACAAAAGCATTGCAGAGTTTTAAAATTCCAGGAGATAAAAATCCGTGCTGTGTTTGTCTCTGTCAGGGCTCATGCTGACAGTCTCAGAGGGTTAGCCCAAGAGCTTCGCTTGTTGGACAGCTCTCACCCCCTGAAATGGATGTTTCCATTTTAGTGCAGCGACATGCTGCCTAGTATGTATCTTCGGGGGTTTTTTAAGTGATTTTTGGCTTCACTGTTGAAAAAGTCCCATTTTGATATATCAGGTTTATGTCTCCTAGTTAGTGTCTGGCAAGAAAAAGCAGGGAACACATGTACTCAACTCATAACAAGTTTATGATTTTGTATTTTAATCCACTTCTGGGAAAAGACAAGCCGCCAAAGATCCAAATGATATATTAATGGTCTAAATTGTACATTAATTCATCTTTGACCAACACGAGAAGTAATGAAGACCTAAGTAAGCATTCCATAAGTCTTTGCAGCTGACACTGGTCTCACACTTGAGCTCACAGACCATCTCAGTAAAATCTCAGATCCCACATAATCCTTGGTATCCAAGCCCTTACTTCAATATCAGGAACCCTTGTATCTTGATATTATCAATAGCTTGTTTTTTGGGGGGGCTGTTATTGCTGTTGTTACTTAAAGAAAAAGTAGTGTTTTCTGCTTAGGTTGCAAATAAATGTAGACCAATATTTATGGCTTCAAATGAGTGTCGTTCAATTTTCGGAAACACTTGTATTAGTTATATCTTGACTTCTCTAGAGGGGATTAAAGGGTATTATCTAAGAACGAGCATTTTGGAAGTTTTCCTTTTATAAACATAACATCATCATTTGAAAGAGCCTTTAAATATATAAAGTATGGTTTTTATGTGTCTTTTGGGAAATTAACTGTGATAAAAATGTTATTAGAATGAAAAAGATCATATATTGTATGATTCCATTTATATGAAAAATCCAGAAAAGGCAAATCTATAGAGACAAAAAGTAGATTAGTGGTTGCTTGGAGCTGGGGTTGGGAATAGAGATGACTGAAACGGGCACAAGGGATCTCTCTGGGATGATGAAATATTCTAAAGCTGGATTGTGTTGCATAGATCTGCAAATTTACTAAAAATCACACTAAAACTTTGGTGTAAATGTTACCTCGTGTAAACTATACCTCGATGAAGCTGTTATATTTTTTTAAAAGAAAGTGTTATTAGAGAAACTTAAAACAATTATTTATAATATTTTCCCATTCCTTTTGAAACAATAGAGGCTCCAAATAAGCAAGCTTTTAATTACTAAAATATGTCACACCCTGGCTGAAATAAACCTAACTCTTCAAAGAGCTCTCGTAACCTATTCTGCGCATTGTTGATGCCAGAATCATAACTTTATTGTCAATTATGCCCATCTTGTATAATACTTGAAAATATTGTTTAAGTTTCAACTTCGAAATACATTCAAAGTTTTAACTGAGAATCAGTAAACTTAACAAAGGAACTGAACCATGTACTGCAGCCTAAACATGATTATACACACCTAGGCAATGGCATTCTGATGATTAGTCAATTTCCTTATCCTAAAGAAAACAAGCTCCTTGTGATTATCTTTTCTAGTTTTAAAACTATAGAAATGTTCATTGGATATTTTGTTTCTATTGAAAATTTTTAAAAATCATAGATACAATGATCACCAGAATTCACATTGAGAAAGAAACAGTATTTTCATGTTGCTTACAAATTGGCAGATAGGGCAGAAAGTAAGGCCCTGACAGCCCCTGAATGTGAGCTGAGTGGTTCCGTGTGAGACAAAAGGAAGAGTTTATTCTGTTGCTCTGTAGAGTTAAAGGGAAACAAGAAGGGAGAGGCTGCAAGAAGGCTTAGCTAATTAAATGCTTAGGTTCGAGCAGGATTTTGGTTTTTGTTTTGTTATGCTTTTTGATTTGGGGAGGGTTTGGTTTGGTTTGGTTTGGTTTGGTTTGGTTTGGTTTGGTTTAGTTTGGTTTGGTTTGGTTTGGTAGAAACTTGCTGGATTTTGCAGGAACCTACTTAAGAAAATATAGGCCTTGTGAATATAGAGTGGCATTAAGAGTTTGAGCAACCCACCCAAGGACATATGGTGAACCTGGAGGGACCCACACCTCCACCTGGCCTGGCCTTACTTGAAGTTCTCTAGCTTCGGAAAACCTCAGGATTCACAAAAATCACAGAGCAGACACTGAAGTCTTACGAGGCTGGAAAGTGAAATTTAAAATAAATTTTCTCAGATTTCCATAGACAGGAGACTTAAACTCACACGGGAAGGCTATATGTAATAATGTAAAATAGTAAAATTATGGCCAAATAGAAATAATTTTAGACCATAAGTCATTTTACTCACAAGAGCAGTGGGGGGAAAGTAAATGAATTATGTATCACAAACACGATAATGTCTGCCCTTAGGAAGAAGGCCTCTAAAAGTTATCATTTATGTTGTTATATAAAATTACTACAAATGCACATTTTTTTCATGCTTAGTTAAGTTGCCTTACATTTCTTTATTTGTCAGGAGAAAATAATAGTACCTACCTCATAGGATCATTGCAAGGGTGAAATATAAAGTACTTAGGATAAGACCTGGCTCATGTAACACTAAATAATGATAGCTTTTATTATCATGTATGATTTACTCAAATGACTTTTATACATTTATTCTCTCCATTCTCTATTTTTCTGTACTACCAGTCTGTGATCTTCATTCGTGACAAAAATTCTCATGGACAGGAGATATCAGGATACATTGACTATGCCCATAGGCTAAAGACTGAAGATTTTGAAGTTTACTTTAATGGGAAAAAAAGACTCCTTCCAAGATCCACAGATTTGAGGTAAATTGTACACATTTCGCATGCCTTTAATAAGAGAATAAGTTCCTCGGAGGAAGGGATAAAGGCTTTTTATTTCATGTTCTACACTGTGCCTGGAATGCTAATGTGTATATAGTAGGAACATGGTACGAATAGTTTGAATACAAAATAAATAAATTTTAAAGTAGGAAATGAACATAGATGCATTTTTTCCATTAACAGCCTGAGAAGGAGAACTCTTCAGAGATAAGTAAATTCTCAGTGACATTCCTTTTCAATGATAAGTAGAGCCTAAAAATTCCTAACTTCATAAGGCTCTTGATCCACTTGGGACTCTGTTTGTCTAGACGCCACAAGAGTGGTGACTCTAACACATTCTCTTCCCACTGTTCTTTGGCCACCAACCAAAGTGCAGGTCTCTGGCTGGCTCACTCTCATCACTGGCTTATTCTGGGATTCCTTCCACCCGTCATTCTTTTTACTATTGACTCCTACCCTCTCCTCCGGAGCCTTGACCCCATCACATAGGAACTGCTCTACACTGTCCATCTATTTACAGATCCCATCCCTCTTCCTCCTTCTGAGCAGTTCTCAAGATCAACTTCTTACTCTATCTCTCAACTTACATTAAAACACAAAAGTAGTAGCAGCATTCTGCTTTAACTCTCCACTGCTGTATCCAGCTCAGTCTTTGACACTTGTAACAATACTATTGCTCTGCCATCCCTGCCAGCTTCTATCCATACTTACTGCTGTTATCTGAAGACTTCCTAACCCATCACCACTTTCATGGACTTGCCCCTATCCTATCTAACCTAGATGCATGGCATATTATTTAACTTCCCTCTTGCAACAACCCTCACTGCCCATGTTTTTCTGTGCTTTGATTTTATTTGTCCTGCTAACCCCCCAAAATGGACTGATCCTGACATCTCTTGCTTGCCCCTGTAGCCAGACTTCTGAGCACTGATGAAGGAAATTTCACAAAGGTTTAGATGGCTGCGACTAATAATTTATGGTCTCCAAACTCAGCTGGAGTGGCTCTCAGCCACCCACTCATGGGCTTTTCCTCAACTCTTGATTTCACTGTCCTCCCCCAAGTACTCTAAGCTTTACCACTCTCCCAGAATCATTGTTCTCAACTGCTGATCCTGACTCTTCTCAATATACAATTTTCTTCACATTTCACAGAGAACGTTAGGTCTAAACATAGAAACTACCACCTGATCTGCCCATCTCTGCCAACCAAAATTGACTCATAAACCAGCCCCTCTGCCCTCAGAGTGCCCTTCTGATAACTTCCAGTCACAGTTTGATTCTGGCAGCCGCTGGCCCTGAGCCTGCCATCTGCGTTCAGAACATGCCTGCCCCGAGTCTTCAAAAAAATAATAGTTCATTCTTACTAAGTGAAATATTCTTTTATACATGTATCTACTCTCACATTTTTCTAGATTCAGAGAAAAAAGGAACTCTGTGCTATTCAGAGCCAATGCACTGAACTTGTTTTTGATCCACTGAAGCTGTACTTCATCTGTTGCTCCCTCTTTTTTATTGATTCTCAAACTGACCCTGTCAACTGGCTGCTTTTTCTTGCCTCTAAACATACTGCAGCTACTTGTATAGTAAAGAAAGGAAATCCTCTTAGTATTCCAACCATTGCCCTAACTCTTCCAGTTCCCAGATAAGCTCTTCAAAACAACAAGGGTCTCCAGTTCTCACTTCCCGAGTTCTCGCTAATCCGTGGTGATCGGTCCTCTGCCACCACTATTCAAACGAGGGGGCTCCTGCCGAATTCACCAGTGACTACCAGTTTCAAAATCCTACGGATTACTTTCAATTCCCATTTTACTTAACTTCCCTAAATTACTGGGTTAGTGTTGATTACTCATCATGCCGATCAATCCTTTCTTCTCAAAACTACTAAAATAGTCTAACCTTTTATTCTCAGGGTCTGTCACTGAATCCCCCCCACTGGTCTAGTTCATACATGTTGGTATTCACCAGAATTCATCCTTGGACTTCTTTTCTTATCATACATGTTCTCTCGGGTGATTTGGTCACTTCTTTGGAGTAGAGTAGTCTCCACAGCTATAACCCGAACACAGATCTCTCTATTTTTGGACTCAATTATCCTACTGCTCACTTCTGAAAACCTCTCAGTATCCCAAGAGCACCTACATCTTATTTTTGAAATTAAAATTATTTTAATCCCCAAAGCCTGCTGTCCCTTTTGTATCCTCTGTCTTAGCAAATGGCACCACCCCTGCAACCCAAGGCAAAAATCCAGGTGTTAACCTAGACCTCTTTCTCTTCATAACCACCCCTACAACTAGTAATTTTCTAAAAATACTGAGCTCTGTTACCTTAACAGCTTTGTTTATGTTGAGGCACATGCAAGCTGTGCCATTCACTTGTTAACACTCAAGTATGAATCTTTACCTAATAATATTTTAAAAGAAAACATGATGGCATTATCATGCCCAGCAAAATAATTGGTCCTCTTTTTTCATCACCATTCATCTCCTCTATGCGCTCTCCTGTCCCCCC